CTCTTTAAAATCTACATTAAGTTTTTTAGGAAATTTAAAATTTCTGCTCTAAAATATACCCAATTACCAAACTTTTTGCAAAAAACATTTGTTTTTTAAAAACAAACATTTCACTAGGTCACCCTATATGCTGTATAAACTTGTAGGTAAGTTTGGTTAAATCCATATCAATGGTTAAATTGTGGGAGTAATACTTTTACCTAAAGAATCATTTTGCTGTATACCATTAATTGGAGGACACCCTGTATATTTTTAAATATTATTTTAGAATCTATTATTTTATTATTATTGCATTTTGCAATATAAATTATTAATACTTCAATAATTTACCTTTAGTTCAACAGAAATTGCAGTTTTCCGTTGCCCCTGCATTAAAAATGGTTCTAATTTGAAAATTATTTGTTCTGCAACAAATTTGGTTACTCTAAAATATCGCAAAAACATTTTATTCTCCAAATTAAAAGGATTGCTGTCATCACGCAGCCTTCGGCGTTGCAAATTAAGTTCATGACTAAAAATATAAAAATTCATAATTAATATTACTTCGAGTGTAATTTATATAAATCGCACTTTCAGTAAAATTGTAGCGTACCTTAAAATAATTAGTTTGGAGAAATTAAATTGCAAAAACTCGAATTTGTTTATTGTTATACTTATGTATATGGAGAACCTATTAAAACTATTTAAATAAACAAATTCCAGTTTTTACATTTTAATTATACCAAACTAGGTACTAATTTAAGGTTATGCCACTATTTTCCTGGGAGTACGAAACATTTTCAATGTATTTACCAAATTAATCAATTATTACTTACCTTTGATTTTCACCTTCTATCATTTCCTCGATTTCTTCCACAATTAGTTGCTCGATTTCATTTCCCAAATCGTTCATTTTTGAGGATAGCAATAATTAATTAACTATAAATAAACCACAATCCGTAAAATACACGTTTTATCAAATCTATGATCAACAAAAGATAGGTTATAAACATGCCGCAAAGAACACGACAAAGGTAACCAACTTCATAGAAAAAGAATATACTTCCTTTCCGATCGTGGCGCTAAATTCAAAATTTAACATGTTTTAATTAAATTTTAACGGCATCTCTGAAGCAGCCGTTTAAATTTCGAGGTTAGAATATGTTAAAATTGATTTATGAGTCATGGTTGCTTGGATATCATAAAGATCAACAGCCAAAAACACGTAGTGGGGGAAACAAGACTACATTAAATGAAACGTATCAGCTTGTCAGGTAATAAAACGCAAACCAATACTTATTTCTTTTCTGGTGATATTTTTAACATAACCAGTTAACAGGAAAGTTACATCAATGGGCCCATAGTCCTTCAAAATAATTTTTAAACCATTAAACCGATTTTTCTCAAATTTTGTGTAGATTAAGCTTCCGTCGATAATATAATGAAAATTTCCTACAAAAGGCCCAGTGGCGGAGATTTTGGGGGGATTACCCTTTTTACCCTAACATTTTCGACGCCACTGGATTTTATTAGAAAATCATCAGATTTATTTTTATCTCTTTTCAATGTAAAAGCAAAACTTGTATGTCAATTTTAATAATACAAAATCAAACCAACCCAAAAACCACCCTATTGAAAGCGATTATTCCATTATCCATTTAAATTATTGATTATTCCATGTAAATTTTTATTGGCCCAATACAATCGTTCAGAAAAAAAACATTTTTTATTACTAAAATAATAACAAAAGTTCAGTGTACAGTGTTTTTAAAATTTTAAACTGAAATATCTCCGAAACCAATGATCTTATAAAAATTTAACACACAAGTATTGCTTCTAAATCTGATGATTTTCCAATAAAATCCAGTGGTGTCGAAATATGGGGGTAAAAAGGGGAAACCCCCCCAAAATCTTCGCCGTTGAGCCTTTTGTAAGAAATTTTACCTACACAAAATTTGAGCAGAATCGGTTTAATGGTTTAAAAGTTATTTAAAAAAAAAACGTTTTTTTGCCTTTGAATTGCTATTAGTGTGTTAATGTGTATTTTTGAAAATTGTTTTTGGGTTTGTTTTTATTGTTTTTTTAGATTAATCCTGGACCACTCTGTATATATATATATATATATATATAAATATATATATATGTATCTATTCGATTTAATAAATTTATTTAATATATAAAATTTTGTGGGCTTAATTTGGATAAAAAAATGCCGAAACTTGTTTACTTTGTTGCCCTTTCAATTCAATAATTAAAATAAACGACAAAAAATGTGAAATAATAGTTGTTTTTTTACATAAAATAAATTAAAATTTTAGTATTAGTATTTAAAATGTCATATTGTTAAAATAAATATGATCTATTTGCCGTATACCCTACAGTACATTCAAAATAAATTTAAGCCAAAATAATTTAATAAATAATAATATTTTAACTAACAAAAAACTTACATTTTGAGGTGATTAAGCAGAGCATTTTATTACGAAATTATTTTTAATCCTAGACGTCCTAGAGAAAAACTAATGACATTTTTGAAATCAGCGGCCCAAAATTAATTAAATCAAGCTGGAGTAGTCAATGTTAGGAAAAAAAGTTTCTAAAACTATCATCGTGTTATTAGTCTAAAATTTAATATGCACCTCGGCATTAAAGTAATTTTTATCACACACGTGGTTATGTGCCTCGGCTTTCGCCTCGGCAAATAATTTCCACATTCGTGATAAAAAATACGACTTTACTGCCTTGATACATAAATAACTATTAGTCAAAATTAAGTTAATGAAAATAAAATGACAAACCAACAGGTACTTATAGTTTAAGTTGAAATCCTTTAATTTTAACTAGGGAAATTTCAGTATAGGAGCTGAGCCATTTCGTCCGTTGTACAGGGTGATTCAAACTCGACGCCTTAGCGCTTGATTTTGCGAAAACCGGATAATATATTTAAAAACTGTTTACATGTTTTATCTCAACCATTATTTTCCACCAAAAGGATATTTAAAAACTTATGGTTATGTTGTCCTGACAATATAATTCATTAATATTAGAACTAATGAAATGCCAGTATTTCATATTTGAGCAAAATGTCAAAAACCTTACACGTGAGTACTGACGCATATCAGACTAACACAATAATTTAAACGAAATACATAGGCATAAGTAAAACATTTACACTTGAGTGTTTAGGGTTAGGACTTTTTAAAGCATCGCAGGCAAGTCCCATGATATCTGTATTTTTACATTGAAAGCAAAACTACCCCAATATGACGTCAAGCAAAAAAAAACATTAAAAATACAGCTGCAGATTGGGTATGTGAAGAAGAGTTAAAATGATTTGGGATGAAAGGGGGTGACTTTTTTAATTTTACACCAGATTAGCGGGGTTTTCTATGGGCTAGCATTTAAAGGCTTAGAGCGACTAGGGATAGTCGTATGTATAAAGCAGTACAAAATTAAATCAAATGATTAATGTGGGTGAATACTATTCACTTCTACCCAGTGTATATAACGTTTTTTTTTTTATTTTTTTTTAATGTGCTTTTATAACAGGCACCAGGCCCAATTACAGAAGTACACAATGACAAACACAAATAAACAACCATATCCCTGGTCAGATTCGAACCCACGACCTCTCGGCTTGTAGTCCGCAGTCAAATCAAATCAAATCAAAACATTTATTTAACAATTACAAATATCACAGTATATATGGAAAGTAGTCCGCAGTGCTAAATACTACACCACCGAGGGCGCATGGCACGCGGGAGTACGCGGGTTAAAAACGGGCATGCTGTTTTTTATTTTGTAAATTTTGTTATTTTCTTATGATTCTTAAAATTTATTTTTTTAGGTGATTTACTGGTTTGTTGACGGGGTTGAGGTCCTAAAGCTGATTGGCAATAGTCGTATGAATAAAGAATTACAAATTGAAAGTAATTACTAACGATTGGCCTATAATAGCTTCGTGGGTTTGTGCTTTTTTATATTTTTTATAATAGTAACTACTTTTTTATGTGGTTCTTTGGGTTTTGATGGACGGGGATGGGATGGGTTCAGATTGATTGTGTCAAATAAGGAAAATGTATTTAGCCCTGTCTTTTTATTTTTTTACTCCAACACAGAATTTTGAAATTAAAATGTAGTGTTAATTATTTACTTGTCATTTATTAATTATTGTTTCTTATTTTGGGTGCTGAACCAAGCAGCTTTAGGACTTAACCGCTAGTTTTGAACAGTAGTCGGATGCAAATGTTCTGGTTTAATTTCAACCACTCCCGTTATGTCGTGAATGCGTTCACTGTGCGGAAATATTTTTGGCAGTCACAGTGGACTTTTTCAGGTGACTGAACATTAATTAACACTGCCATATATAAAAAATATTTACATTTTAAATTGTTGCTCTTGCTGGCAAGGGCCTGTTTTGAAACATATCGGAAAATATATCGTTGAATCTGACCATTTGCCAGGTGATAAATTATTTTTTTTTATTTGAGAAAATGTGAAATGTTTCAATACATACCCTGGTCTGACTTTAAGTCCAAAGCGAGAAGTTGACCAGTGGTGTGCCCGTGGAAGACTGTTTCACCATTCAACATATGAAATCCCCATTTCTCAAGTTTTATATTTCTATTGCTTGTTTACTAAACGTACTATCGGTGCATTACCACCACTGTATTTATCAACTAACATATTAAAAAATGATTGTACTGTCCGGTTTTAAAAAGATGGGAATACACCTTGTATATAAGCTTACTGAAAGTAAATTATGAATGAATTTTAACCTTCAAGTTAAAAAAAAAATGCTGCGGGATAACAAACATTTAAAAAGTTATTTAGTGAGTCATGTGGCTTATTTATGCTTAGAGCCTACGATCATAGCACATGCATTTGTATGGTAACTTTTTCTGGAGGAAATAATACGACAAATTGGCGTATATAATATAAACAGTTGGAAGTTATGCTAGTTTATAGGAACCAGGCATCCAAAGCTGCCTAAACGAACAATAAGTTAAACAAGCACTTACCCTTTGACCTCGTGGCACTGTGACTGCGGCCATCGCCAATCCTGGCTTTGTTTGGCGAGATGGAGCGCGCGCGAAATTGACTTGAACTCTCCGTAACCGACAGACGGGATCTTCTCATGAGATCGTAGGGGTCAGCCGTGGGTAATATCGATGGTCGGGAGGATGAACTCACGCGCATCGTACCCGCTCTAAGCGGTGTGCTGACGACCGGAGAATGCGATGTCGGATAACATCGAACCTAAAATAATAACATAAATGTTATATTGATATTATATTATATTTATATTATTAAGGAAGCCTGTGAAATTCAAAATATGAAGTGTTATAATAATAAGAAAAAATGTTTTTGTTTGTTGCATGAAATTTTTTAGTTTTATTTAGCATTGTTTATTTTAAATATGAAATCAGTTATCTTACAATGTGGTTTTTATTATTTTTGGAGATTTTAGTTTTACTTATAAATTAAGCTTAACAAATTAAATAATGATTTACAAAAATAATTTCATACAAATTTAATAAATTTATAAATTTTAAAATAAATTAATTAAAGAGTTTGTCTGGTCAGGTTTCTATCGGTACTATAGTATATATATATATATAAATTGTATAGCATTTTAATTTTTAGATTAGGGTAGAGCGGGGAGACAATTTTTAAACTTTTTTGCCTGGTTCTCTTAAAAATTATTTCTAATTTCAAAGTTTCAGGTAATAGTGTTGACTTTTGAAAACGAACTCGGTTATCGATCAGTGGGGGGGGGAGAACCAATACCACGTCCTTAAAATCCACCAAGCCTTCATCTTCATCTCAGGAACAGATGAATCAACTGTTTCTTTAAATCTGTATGATAGAAACTGCCTGTTCGGGAATTTGACTGTATATCCTCGGTTTTTTGCAATATTCTGCTAGCGTAGTGCCGGGACGATGTTTGGACAATAGAGGAAGACTCTGGATAGTGTGTCCAAACTCTCCCCACATGATGTGAAACAAAAAATTTGTTTATAATTTCATAATACAGCAACGGAATAAAGTAAGGATATAACAAACGTTCCATGCTTTATACATGCTTTAATATGTAGTAACTTTAAATTACTTATCTACATCGGTCTGGGCAAAAAAGCTTACAAGGGGAATGTAAAATATTACATAATAAAACTCGAAAATAAACTTTTCCTACAACCAAGCGCAAAGTACAAATTTGAGCTTCCAAAAGAAAGCGCAAAGTTGTACTTTTCCGAGGAGCGAGCGTTTTTTTACTTTGTCCCCTATTTACGCATTTTATTGAAAGTGTTTGTGTTTATACATCTGTAGAGTTATTTAGGTCGTCGCTTCAACAATACACTTAAGTATTATCTCATAGAAATTAGTTATTTTATGGAATTCTAACGGATTTTGTCTTGTTTTGCCGTTGCAAACGTAATCAAGTACAAAATAAAGGAAATTGTAAAGAACGTCACGAATATTTTGTCCACTATTAAAGTGAATAATATGTATACTAGACTGGGCCAAAAAAATCAACTATTTTTTTTTGAAAATTATATTAAAAATATGGTTTGGGGTGACAAAAAAAAAATTATTTTGAAAGTTTGAGTCCATAATATTAATATTAAGAGGTCTATCGTCGCAATTTTAATTTTTTTTTCCTCAGCAAGTTTTTCTCTCAGAACTCCCAAACTATTGAGTTTAACAAAATTAACTTTTTAAGAAAATTAAATGCTTTACAAAAAAGGTTAAAATGAAATTTTCCGTCAGATGAACCGTTTCCTTAAAATCATGCCTTAAAAATTGGTATAGTTTTACATTTTGATCTTTAAACTTTGGAATTTTGTAATTCATGTAAAATCAGTACCCAGAAAAAACCTACAGAATATTCTTATGGAAAATCAAAGGCTTTACAAAAAAAGCCTCGTTTTGACTTCAAATTTAACCTTTAATAACTTTTGATGGAGTGAATTTAGCCAAAAATATTAAGAGAATTTTTTTGTAGAGCATTTGATTTCCCATAAGAATATCTATCGGTGTTTTTTTTCGGGTATTGATTTTTACATGAATTACAAAATTCCAAAGTTAAAAGATCAAATTGTAAAACTAAACCAATTTTTAAGGCATGATTGTAAGAAAACGGTTCATCTGACGGGAAATTCCAATTAAACCTTTTTTGTAGAACATTCAATTTTCTTCAAAAAATATTCCAAAGTCAATTTAGTTAAACTAAATGGTTTGGGAGTTCTGAGACAAAAACTCGCTCAGGAAAAAAAATCTAAAATTGCGATGATAGACCTCTTAATAATAATATTATGGACTCAAACTTTCACCATAATTTTTTTTTGTCACCCCAAACAATATTTTCGATATACTTACGATTTTTTTGGCCCAGTCTAATGTATACGGTATCCCAAAAATGGCGGAGCAGTGCCATACCTACATTATTTTTTTCCGACTAGCTATTCCTATAGTAACTATATTTTTAAGTTTAAAAAACTCGGAACCTCTGTGTTCTTACTGTGCTAAATAACACATCTTAGAAGGGTTTTTATGAAAACTAAATAAACATCCAACAGCTATCTGAATCTTGTTACCATTAACAAATTTTAAATTTGAGGGGTATTAATATGATTATTAATATTATTTAATAATAGGTATTTTATAAATAAATATTTAAATAAACAAATTTAATTTTTAAAACCCTATGTAAGTATAACTCGAAAACTTTTGTTGTAAAAAAAAACTTCCAAACGCGTGCTATGGCGTGTGTGCCATTTTAACCATTTTACCCTATATAAAATGCAAAATAGTTTCCATTTTAATTGGATATAAATTAGTCAAAATTTTTCTGTTTTTTTGTGCTTTTCATTTTTTTTTAATTCATAGGCATTCCTTGGCAGACCGCAACTGGTACACTAAAACGATATAATTCTAAGTGAGTAAACGCTAGATCTACAAGCACATTTGTTATTCGATGTGGCTCCCGTCCCGAGGCGGGATTTAACTTCGATCCCGACAGACGTCACACACTGTAAATCCGTTTTTATTCCCCGAGCTTTTATAATTGGTGTCAAGCTGGATGGCTTGGATGGTAGGGCGGTCGCTTGGCATGGCATGCGAGAGGTCCCGGGTTCGATTCTAAGAACTTTTTTATTTTTTTATTTCATAAATTTGTTGTTTCTTTGTTAAACAGTGTTCGGTTGGGTTGGGTTGGTTAATTTGTTTTAGTTTTATCGTAACATAAATTTTCCCATTTTAGTTGGGTTTTTTGCTCAATGGGGCGGGGTCGGTTGGGTTGTGTTGTTGAGTTTGGGTTGGGTTGGTTTGTTTTAGTTTTATTGTAACATAACAAATCTTAAAATTATGACGTCAATCGGGACTGAACTTAAGTCCCGCCTCGGGACGGGAGCCACAGCATTTGTTATTTAATAATAATAATTGCTTGTAATAATTTTATTTTACGTCTTTAATAGAAATAAAAATATAGGATAATAAAACCTTTTAAATTATATTTGTTCTTTATTTATCTAAACCAGATTAAACCAAACTTTTTTAAAATTTCTGTTAAATAGCAAATGCTACTATAATTATAATTGAATGAATACGTATATTAAATTTAATTTAAATATTTAAAGTACAAGCAGACTTTCTTGACAAATTACGCGTTTTCTGAAGTAAATTAAGTATAATTTAATTCTGCAGAAAAGCGTCGGTAAGCAATTACTTACCGACGTTATTCCTAGTACACAAGCAACCGATCTGTAAATAGTAGTGATGCCCATGAGACCAACGAGTCGAGACTTTCATAAAGTCTTGTCTCGTCTCGCCGATGAGTAGAGAAAAGAAGTCTTCTATCGAGTCTCGTCTCGCAGCCTCCAGTCTCGTCTCGTCTCGCTTCTCGTACGAGAGTCTTGCAAAAGTATCGAAATCTCGTTATGCAAAATCTTGTTTCAGTCCAGTAAGGTCAAATTGACGGCACCTCAAAGTTAAGGGTTATTAAAAGCCATTCTTGGTTTTTATATGATTTATACTGTGAACCGTGTTTGTTTATAAATTTGTCTAATCTAAATTGAATCACCATAAAAAGTAAACATGAACCAAATTGGTGGTCTGTCAGGGAAGGCAGGTGAGGCAGTGCCTCCCCATAGACTCTATGGCATGGAGAATTAAAGATAACTTTAATATTTTACTTTATAATATAAAAATTCAATAATCATTCAATTCAATTTTCTTCAAGAAACCTTCTTGACCCACTACTGGTAATATTCATAACTTGAGTGGTGTATAAACTCAGGTAGTATTCTGTTTTGGGTATGTTCCACTACACCGAGTTGCCTGACACTGATAAGACCCAATATAGGTCGAAACAGCTGTCTGTCGGTATTTAAAGTTGGTGGAACGCACTCAAAATATTATTAAAAATAATTGTTGCAAAATCTTTTCGGCAACTGATACCGACGAGCAGTATTTCACTGTAGGATCATTGAAAATATTAAAAACAATTTAGGATTATTTATTTACTGTATAATAGCTTTATAAAAAAATATTAAAAAAATTATTTAAGTAACAATAGTTTAACCACTTGCCGATAGCGCATTTTTTTTTAAAAGCCATTCTTTTATTCACCTGCAAGACTCTCGCACGAGACGCTAGACGTCTCGCACGATACTCGAGACAAAACCATTAAAAGTCTCGTCTCGTCTACTTCGAATATCGTCTCGAGTATCGTCTCAAAAACGAGACGAGACCATGCGAGACTCTCAAAAACAAGACTTCCGTGGGCACCACTAATAAATAGATACGGTAAATCATTCAAAATAGCATGGTCGTACAAAAAGTTTTCGCTACGCTCAGTGGCCAAACATTGTCGTCTATCGGTAAACTATCTTTACTGTTCTTGATACTTAATATACTTATTACCTCCTAGTCTAACCTCACTTTTTACTTTTAATAACTATTATAAATGTACGTTTTATGTATTGTTTAACAATAGTATGTTATGTATCAAGTTTTATAAACGCCATTTTAGTTACGATTTTTATTGGACACGAGCGAAACTTGCGAGCTAGTGTTTGATAAAAAAAAGTATCTAAAGAAGTTTATAAAATGAGTTGCATACTTAAAAGTAAAGTAAAATTACTTAATACGACGAAAAGAAATAGGAATATAAAGAAATTTTAGACATGCTTTTAGATCGATTTGACAAAAATCATCTTTTAACAGCTTAAGAAGTATTTTTTTTGTTAAATCGATCTTAAATGACTTCTAGCATGTATTGTCTTTTCTGTCGTTTTTGTTTTGGACACCCTGTATAACTATACTGTTTACTATTACTATAAGTTTAATTTTATTTAAATGTTTTTTCATGGATAACTTGACATTTTTTATTTTTTTTTGTATTTTAAATTTTTGTGGTTATTGTGCATTTTTCTACTTGAAATTTTTCAATAAAATTTAGTAAAGGGTCGTTTTGAGGGGTGGTGAATCTACTGCCGTGCTTAGATTTTGTTTAAAAAATTCACTAATATGAATTATTAAAAATTTACTCTTAAAAACTGACATAGTAGGCCTTGTATTTTGTACTAATACAGCATTTTTTGCTCCAAAAATACAGTTTATCAAGATCTACACTTAAAAACAAATCCGGTTAAAATCGCACAATAAATAAAGATTTTACAGGGGTGCGTCGCAAACAAATGGGTCACACTGTACCCAGCAAACAGAAAAGCGTGAAAAACATGTGACATTTTGGTAATATTTTGGTAATATATCCTTCCCTAGATTTTTTTAAGACTACATGCATTAAATGGAGCATAGAGCAAAATCTCAATTAAAGCTATAATATTTTCGTTTTTAGTTTAAAGGTTTGAATTTGACTATATATTATTCTTAGTTTAAGAATAAATAGATTAAAACGTGCTATTAAAAAAATAAGAATACGTTTAACCTGCGGTCTTACATTAAAAACATCTTATTCTGAAATTAATAAACAGCAGTTTTTGAATTAAGAAAGCATTTTTTAATTAAGAACTTTAAGAATTGTGAGAATTATTGTTCTTACTTTTAAGAACGTCTAATTTTAAAACTATTATTCAACAAGTTTTAAATTAAAAATGCATTCTTTATTAAAGAACTTAAGAATTGTGAGAATGCTTGTTCTCAGTTTCACACAAGTTTGAAATTAAGAATGCATTCTTAAATGAAAAACTTCAAGAATAGCGAGAATATTTATTCTTTTAAAAAGGTATAATTTTAAAACTATCATGCAACAAGTTTTGAATTAGGAATGCATTCTTCAATAGAGAACTTCAATTGTTCAAGAATGTTCATTCTTAATTTGTGTATGGACAGTTTTAAAACAAGTATGGCATCCTTTATTTAAAAATAGATTTTGTAGTTTTTAAGAATTTTATTTTCAAATAAAGAGTAAAAATCTTTGTGATGTGTTGGTGAGTGTTAAAACCATAGAGAAACACCCAAGCGTGTGCGATTGCCTATTAGAAATCATTATAGATATTTAAATTGGAATGTACCGCGTTTCGGGCTAGTTTTTCCCAAAATACCAGAGTTGAGACCCTAATTATGTTCATTTCTAATTATTATCATTATCTAGCATTTGTTTCTCTCTCTATTGTTAACACGTGAAGTAATCGATTACTTAGTGAATAGTGAAATAACTACTGCCAATATGTTTTAACAAACTCCACTTTGGTAGTTAAAAAACTGTTATTTTTTGATAATCAAGCTTTTGCAGTGTTACGGACCTATAAAGTAGAAAAGTACGACAAAAAAATTAGGTGTCATGTAGCAGGTGTGAAAGAAGAGCTTCGTTATAAAATTTCTAAGGTATTTTAAGTGTTATCCGTTTTATTTACATTTGTTACCAAATAACTGTATAGTGTTTAAATGTAAACCATTTTTTATTTGTTGTTCTATGTCCAACGAAAATATATCAAATTTTTGTTTAATACATATACATATACTATACCCATGGGTATGGAAAATTTACGAAATACATCAAAAATTAAGATAGTCTTAATTTGCGATCTGTATATAGTCATATATTACTACTTTAAATAGGATTGTTAGGATGCTCATTAGTTATTAAATTTTTACGTAAGTGTATGTACGTTTATTTTAAAGTTGATTTGTTTTATTGTGAATATGTATAAAGCATTAAATAAACTTAATTTTAAATGAAAGCATAGTTTTAAGCATTGTTACCAACCTATATATACACCTACAATAAAAAAATAAGAAATACAAAATTTAGGAAGATTAGGTCCAGGATTATGCAGAAGTTAATACAAAATACATACCGCAATCACCAAAGATCTTATTATCAACTTGTATAAATCAGATCTTAATAATGTTCCATTTAAAATTAGGAAATCAAAAGCTTAAAATAAAGAAAGTTTACTTTTAAATTAAGAAGTAATTATGCTTACATAAAAAAATCTTCATTCTTAATTTGAAAATTTTAAAATGTAAAATTAAGAACGATTTATTTCTAAATTAAGCAGTATTAAATCTTGAAATATAAGACTGTTTCTTAAATCAAGTAGATCTCCATTCTTAAATTAAAATCTTTAAAGTTTAAAATTAAGAACCTTTTTTTTCAAATTAAATATTTATTCTCAAAATTTAAGAATGTTTTTATTAAATGAAGAAAATCCCCATTCTTAAAATAAACATTTTCATTCTTAAGTTAATAATTACCTAGTCTAAAATTAAGAACGCTATTCTTTAAATTTAAGATTGTGTTCAGTAAATCAAGAACGTATGAAATGTTAACCTTTAAGCAGTTAATTCCAAAAGCTAGCATTTGTAATTCGTCTTTTAAGAATGATGTGTTAATTTAAACTTTTCATGCTTTACTTCAGAATAAGAAAAAACATTCTTCAATTATTCTCAAAATAAAAATAATTTGTGCTTGGGCCATTTTGAAGAACGACTTGTTTTAATTTAAAAGTCATTTTTCTTGTTTTTAAGCACTTATTTTTTTGAGTGCACTCAGAGAAATATATTTCAACCAAAAGTCGGGTTTTTTTTACGTATATAATACGAGTTATCAACGTTGGAATGTCACAGTTTTTTATGGACGTAATTAAAACGTGTTAGTTAGACGTAAAAATAACGTACCCCTTAACGTGGTTAAGACGATTCTTAAAGACATCTTTATGTCCATTTTAGACGTCTTTAAGGTACAAAATTGACGTTTTTTGGTTGTTGAATAATTTCTCAAAAATAGTGCTGTTTAACATTAAATGTTAAATTTTATAAAAAGCTTTTGCTAAAAGTAAGTAGTGGGGCCCACTGCTTACTTTTCGCAGAGTACCTTCTTGATTTCGACTGAAAGAACTGTATGGGAAGTTCATTTTTATTTTTGTGTAATATTTTTAACAAATATAGAAATTTAATTTTTGTTAAAACATTCGTTTTTTCAAAACGTTTAATTCACGTCAATATTCCGTTACTTTAAAACTCATTAAATAACAACTAAAATGCGAAGTGAATAACACGAGTTGGTTACAGCTCTGTTTGCTGGGTATGTATAAGTTAAATGTTGACTTAAACTTACAGTAATTACTATTGAATGCAAAAACCAGAAACTTTTTGGAAAACTTCAAACAAAACAAAAACATCCATACGGGTGATAACTTAAATACGTTAATTTTAAATAGTTGTTTTCGTTAAACTCATCGAACTCGGAAATTTTAAAATCAGATCTTTGGAAAAGTAATAATTAAAACACTTACCGTTCCAAATTTGGACTCTACCGGTGACAGCGGCAACCTGGTGCCTTTACATTTTTTGCATATCGTCGTGCCCTTTTTGCTGCCCCTTTTGGTGCCGTTGAGATAGTCGGGACACGTGCAAAGGACAAAGGCGGGCGCCAAGACCAGGCCGCCTGGCCCTCGGACGCTTCCATACAGCCAGGGATCAGCGTAGCGCATCGAACGGGATAGGGCGCTCTCGCCTTCTTCGGCAGGAGACCACGATTTGCGAGAACCTTCACCCTGCAAAAAGAAAGTATACCTATTAATTCTTAAAATGTATTACCCATACAATTGCCCTAAGGTTTTTCATAAGAATTATTTTAAACAGTATGCCTTACAGCATATTCCTTGTATCCGATTAAAATTTCTTGAATCCCGGGATCCCAGAGCTTATAAATATTAATTTTTAAAAACTTACAAAAACTCATTTTTTATACTAATTTATTATACAAATGGTACCTTACTACCTACAACCTACAGCCTACTTGTAGTAATTTATAGGGCGCCGTTTGTGTCATAAATATATAATGGTAAAATACACTCACCGCAAAATAATCAATCCACACAAATTTTCGATGAATTTAAATCGCAAATAACTTTTTTATTTGATGTTGGATTTAAAAGAATATTGTAGATAAATTAATGGACAATCGCTCACATATTTTATAAAATTACTAAAAAATAGACTTATAATATACAGGTTTAAACAAAAATATGTTTTTTACCATAAGTTTAAGACACTCTGTAGACTCTACAGTGTAGAGTGGCAAAACCGTATATTGTTCTAAATTAAGTTTTAATTATCAATTCACAGCTATTTTTAACAGTTTTGTTTTTGGTTTACCTTGATATATTACCAAAAACAAAACTGTTAAGAATAGATGTGATTTGATAAATAAAACTTAATTTAGAACAATATACAGTTTTGCCACTCTACAGAGTGTCTTAAACTTATGGTAAAAAACATATTTTTGTTTAAACCTGTATATTATAAACGTAAGTCTATTTTTTAGTAATTTTATAAAATGTGAGCAATTGTCCATTAATTTATCTACTTATCTAACAATATTCTTTAATATTCGTTTAAATCCGACATCAAATAAAAAAGTTATTTGCGATTGAAATTTATCGAAAATTTGTGTGGATCGATTATTTTGCCTGTGAACATATTATTTGGGTGATTTTAAGACAAAAAGTTCATATAAACATGGGGCCGCAAAGGCTTCGATTTCAAAAACTTTGATGAAAAAAAATAAAATTCATTTAAATGCATATCTTGTGTGGTCCAGGGATTAATTAAGGGGAATTGATTTTTTTTCAAAACAAATTTCAAAAAGTAGCATTTTTAGCTGCTTAAACCTAAAAAATATAAAAGATTCAAAAAAATCAGTGGCGTAAATTTTTTTGTCAAAAATATTTGTTAAGGTGCCGCTCGGGACGCCACTGGACTTAATCAAGTTAGAGCTAAAGTAGCCCCTATTAACACACTTTCAAATTACAACAAAATTAGGAAAAGGATATTTAAGATATTTACGAAAAACCAATTTAAAAAAAAAATAACATCCTGTATCTTGAAAACGAAGCATTTGCGTCTGTTAAATTTATTGTACATACTTAAGTAACACTCTTTATAGTTTTTACCGATAAGCATTTATTTTTATTAAATATATATTTTGCAAATATATTTGATTTTTAAATATATATATTTATATATTTTTTTGTTGCGGCGTTTTTTACTTTGCAAAATGGCAAGCGGAGATAAGTATAGGTATGCCTATAGGAAAACATGAAACTAATAAATATTTATGCGAAATTTCTATTACTTAAAGGTACCTCGAGTTGTTAATAATAGGACGATGTATCAAAAACTAAGTGAGCCAAAAATTAATCCTGCAGGATTAAACATGTTTACCATTAGAAAGACCTTAAAAAGTAGGAAAAAAATTGTAACGTGATTTTGAAAAAGTGAACTTAATACGGTTTGGCTCTAAGGTACAGATATGTCTTTTTTTATCTATTTAATATTTTGTATTGTAAATGTATTGTGAATTATAGCCTATACTAAATATTATAAACAAACTGAATCAAAGTATTGTTTGTATGTTTATTATTTGTCATGCAATATTAATATTATTTAATCCCCATAAATAGAAATAGTGTATAACACTGCCTTGCTGTTTGCGAAGTAAACAACGCCACATAGCAACCGCATTAGCAGTTTATATTTATAAATTTTTTCAAAAATAAATATTTTATAAATATATGTACCTTTATATTTTCGATTAAGAAAGTAATTAAACATATATACAAATTAAAAGACAAACAAACAAAAAATTATTAATTTTTAAATAATTTAATATATTTGCACAAAAATATTTATATTTAATAAAAATAAATATTTATCAGTATCACTGGTATCCGTCAGACGTGTATCTGTTCGCTCCACTAACTATAAACAAATCTAACCTAATGTGCATAAACACCTCACTGACCAGGATTAAAGTGCATAGTGTCGGAGCCATCCACCCAAACCGGTGGTTTATTGTGGCGGGAACCAGAAAGAGATCAATCAAGACAGAGAGTTATCTGCGAAATACGGATAAGTATTTTAATAATATTTGCACGACTCTATTCGAAATACTAAACTTCTAATTTCGAGATTCACCAAGGCTACCAAGCCTTCGGGTGCGTGTATACCTTCTCACGTGGATGAATCCGTAGAATCAAAAAATTATATAAAATAAACATTAAAGGAAGTAGGGAATGATGAGCCAACACATTTTAATAGATCATAGAATACCTAATGCCTATTTAGCAAATCAAGTTTGACTTAAAATTATAAACAAGTATCCGACCAAAAGACGTGACTTAAAAAGTACTAACAAATCCATAAATAAAAAAAAAAACCTACACCTCGCCAAAGTTTTTTGTTTTGAGTGCGTTCCGCCAACTTCAAATACCGACAGACAGCTGTTTAGACCTCTATTGGGTCTCATCAGTGTCGGGCAACTTGGTGTAGTAGAACATACCTGTAATAACTCTGTGAATTTTAACTTATATCATGAAATAAAAGTCTATTTGAACCGAACAGTTTATTAACATTAAGTAGAATGCCACGACCAATTTTATTCGCCGCGGCAATGCCTAATCCCAGCTAGAGCGCCCTCGGTGTTGCTCTTTATAATTAACTTAAAACATTACATATCCTTCAAGTTGGAGGATCAGGCTGGGATCAGGCATTGCCGCGGCGAATAAAATTGGTCGTGTATTAATGTTAATAAACTGGAGGCTCCAACTTAAATTTAACATAATTTCTTTATAATTCAACAAAAAAAATATTTGATTCAAACTTGTTTTAATAATAATAGGCACTATATTATCTCCACTTAGGGCAAGAAGGTTTTCTATGACTACATTTCTTAATACTGTAAGGGTCCTGTGATATATAAACTTTTAAATTCAAATTTGGCGCTGTTTTAACCAAGAAAAATTTAAATAATCCACTAAAATTAATATTATAGTTTTAAGACATTTTATGTTTTAAAAACCTTTGTTTGAGTTTGATGTTCAAGATGGCGTCGCCGGCATACGCAGATTTAGTTGCCTTGTGTCAAAAAATGTGATAAATCGGTTAAAACTGAAGAAAGTACTCTTCTCAAAGATTACGAATTCCGACTACTTAACTCAATATTTTGTAATATCTTCTGGGTTTACCGAGGGGTAAACCACTGATTTTTTAAAATTAAAAATCGCTTACGAATTAACGGCTAAGGATAACAATAACAAGGGTAGTCAAGCGCAATACGTCGCTAAGCACTGATTTACACAGAAAAAAGATTATTTTTAAAACAAATAAAATACTATTGTTAGTTTTCCATATACATAAATACATATTTTTTTCTTACAAGAAATTTATTTATTCGAATTGTAATGTTATGTTGAATCACTAAAATTCTTAAATTGAAATTCGTCAATTTGCGGTTAAACTTTGTTAATTCTTATTCTGTAGCTATTAGAACTTTGATTTAAGACTATGTTTTCTTAAAATAAGCAGAATATTTTTCAAAAAACTATCGACATATTTTGGTACCAAAAAATCGTATTTTTAATTTGAAAAGATAAAGTGTTAAAGTAAAACCATGATATTCTTAAAATAAACCCTATCGGTTCATATGAAATTCATTTAAATTTTTACAGTGAAATTATAAAGCTGCAGCTGCAACATGTTGTTCTCCAAATGATTATAATACTGTTCTTTCTCCCTTCACAGGGATGCTTTTTCTGTAACTTGTTTGTTTGTTTCGTGTTTCTAATAGAAACTTTTTATCTTGGGTAGAGTGCAAAACCTGCAAAAAAAAATTGCAGAAAAATATTCTTGGTAACCTAACACTGAATGAAGACCCAAGTTATCTCCAATTAAACAAACGACAACAAAATATACCACAATTTCACCACTGTTAATTACACCGAGAACTTGCACCGGTATACCGTCATGTAAAGAAGGGCGCTACGCTAAGTCAAGACGAAGGGGATGGTACCTTAGCGCATGCGTGGGTTTATTTAAAACAAACATACTCTTGAATCAAATATATTTTCTTGATTTAAAAATTGAGAATTTTTAAAGAAACCATATAACTATTCAAAATAAAAATTATATTTTATCTGAACAAATACATTTTGTCGTTGAAAATTTTCGCCCGAAAAAATCGTTGTATCAGTTCAAGAATAAGTTTTCTTTTCATTCAAACATTTTTTTATTCTTATGTTAAGTTGTTAAAAATTATTCCAAATGAAACCGTTATGTTCCAGTTAAAAAAATAATTTAAATAAATAACATTTTCCCAGTAATCTTAGCGTTTTTCTCCAAGTAAAAGCATAGTCTTAATTAGAAATTATTGTGTTTTGAAGTAAACATTTTGAAAACAATAATTCTTCTTGAAATGAAATTTTATTTTTCTGTGTGTAGCACTGATTAAGCAAGTTTTCCTTATTGATAACGACTGATAAGGAAAAAAACCACAACACAACGTCCACTAACATTGAACGTTGGTCTCTAAGATTTTAAAGTGGTTTACTCCTCGGGGTTTGCGACTCGTGCAAATCCCTATGGGAAAAACTCATGTGATCTTCGAAAATCAACAACAGCAGCTTATGACGCAAGATAGTAGGATAGATGCAATCTTATCAGCTGTGAGTAAAATATCCTCAAAAGACATTCCAAGGAAGCCCCAAATAAAGAA